ACTAAAATTGATTGAAATCGATTGGAAGATTTCCACCGATTGGAAGAATTATAATTAATTAAAAAGTCGAACTTTCATCGATTATACTTTGGATTTTTTAATTTTAATCAATTTTAATCCCTAAAATTTTTCACTGGGTATCTTCCACTTCTCAGTCAGTTACTGCATAAAGTCAGATTCATTACTTATTTACGTGTGAATAAGCAAGCTCTTCTAAATCCTGATTTCTGCTTGATATCGGGCTTGGCTTCTAGGCATGACAAAGTTGATGAGTAGAGTCAGGCTTAGTGTTCGAATCGCTGATTTTTGTTTCAAATAAACAAGGAAAATTACCGTTTCTACAACAAAGTGCGTACCGTACTTGATATTTCACCAATTATTATTCATGATGAATTAACCACAGTCCTCAGTGACGAAGCTCCATCCAATGCGACTGTTGCAAGATGAGCTCAATGGTTCCGTGAAGGTCGAGAACAGTCGAAGATGAGGCGCGACTAGGAGTACCACTGACCAAGACTACTGATCAAAATATCGAACAAATACACATCGCTGTTGTCGATGATCCTTGTGTGACAATCAGAGAGCTGCAAGAAAATACTGATCTGCGCTATGGGACTATTCACGGAATAATTTTAGATCATTTAAAACTAAAAAAACTTACTGCTCTACATGTACCTAAGCACCTGACTGCTTCCCAACGAGCTGAGCGAGTTCGAATACGTAAAGAAAATTTTAAAAAATTCGAACAAGGAACATGGAGATTATGCGACGCAGTGACTGGGAATGAATCTTGGTTTTATCGTAAACAAATTGGCCGAAAAGTATCGAATGCTGCTTGGATAGTAATTGGAGATCTCCAACCAACAATCGTTCGACATAGTTGTTTTGCTCCGAGAACCTCGTTATGCATTTTTTTTAAGCCAACACATTCCGTTTTGATTCTTCGTTTGGAATCTAGCCAGATTATCAACCATCAATATTGTATAGAAAATTGTATATAGTCCCTCATCTATGAAATCAAGAGCCAAAGGCCTTCGTCTGGAAGAAATGCTCTGAAAATTTACTGTGACAATACTAGACCGCAGAGACATGCAGCCATATCGGATTATCTGCAATTGGAAGGGTTCACAATAGTACCATGTACTCCCAATTCTTCGGATCTAGCACCTTGTGACTTCTGGTTATTCGACTTGATCAAACAGAACATAGGTGATCAAAGCGATTCAGACTCGTTACATCGTGTTGTAATGGATTTCATGTACTCTTTGGATAAAAAGGAGTACAAAAAAACATTTGATAAATGGATTGAACGGATGAAACAGTGTGTGAATAATGAAGGAGATTACTTTGAACATTTAATGAAATAAAGTCTTTATGAGAATTCTTCTCTGTCTCTTCTCTGTGACCACTATCTGATGTCTATCGTGATGCAGAACAGTGCATGAGCATAGAAAAGATAAGAAAGAAAGCAGCAAAACAAAGAAAAAAAAATAAGAAAGAGGCCCATATCGATGACTTTATGTAGTGTCATACCCAACACACGTATTATGAAAACAAATATTTTGGAAACTTTCCTTTCATTATATTAACTTAAGTATAATCAAATAGCACAGAAAGATAGAGAATTTGTTTCTCTATCGTTTCATATGAAAAGCAACTTTCATTCAATTTACTGCGAGGGATTAAGGGGTACTCTCATTATTTTTAGATCCGCCTAAGTACATCGAAGAGTATGAATTCTTCTTTTAACATAATCCACATTTTTTAACAAAAAAAAATATGAACGAGCTAATCCAAAAGCAATTCTAATGAGTACAAAAATTTCAACTGAAGGCGATCATCGTCAATAATATTATTAACAATTTTAGTACCAGGGCGTGAGTGTGGATAACTCCCATATAACTAACCACAGTCACACTCAAACCTTGATTACGCATCTACAGTTGTTTTTTCCCAAACACTCTTCGTTCAAAATTGCTCCATGGTGATATGTCACGGTTTTCAGAATTCAGTCTGTTAAAAACGAAAGGTAATTTAATATATTGCAATGCGAAAAATAATTTGAATAAAATGAGGAACATATCATGTATGTTCAATATTGATAACTTTCTTCGTCATTACATTCTAGAGTTTCCAATAAATTTTCTACAGCGGGCACGATCCACTACACAAATAACCTATCGAAGGAAATTCTATCATATGATGCGAATTTCAAAAAAAATTTCTATATCCATTGAAATCTCGATAACTGATTTAATGCCTCCGTCATGTTTAGTTTAGTATCGCTAGATGTCAGACTATAACACTTTCACTACTCAAAAACTAGATTATTGGTCTGTTCTTTCCTTCAATACATGCTATGCAGATTTTCTCTGAGTCATTATTTTTCATTCTATTATATCATCCACATTTTCTCGCTTCTCTTATTCATGTTCTGCTATTACTCATCTTCCACTATATAATATTTTATGCCTTTCACAGTGTATGTGTATATAACCATCAAAACAAGGTAGGATTTTTTCTGTAAGCTTATGGATTCTTTATCAATTTTTTTATCATAAGTTTTATTCTGCATCTTTCACCAAGAATTTCAGTATCTTGATAAAACAAATTATGTTCGCAGTTTTTTTTTAACACAGTAGGTCATCTCATGATACCCACACTGAGAGCACTGGAGATAAATCGTTTTTTGCTCAAAGTATAAAGAAAAAACGTGTTAGATTTGACTACCTCGAACGACTTTGTAGCAATTAAATCGTAATTTCAAAAGTATGTATTCAAGGACAGAACCGACAAAAAAAACATCGATCGGAAGAAAATTGATTATCGCCAATAAAGCATATACAGCGATCCAATAAATATGCAATTAATAAAGATGGTAGCAGTTTATGAGGCAAAATGGAAATAATTAATAATGCAACATGTGAAGGATATGTATACACAAGGACGCATGTAATGTATTCTTCAATGTCAGTGTCATAAGCAATATCAATACATCTTCATCCTGGTGGATACCGCAATAAACATACGTAGCTTCTCAAAAGAGATACTTTTTTAATTAAGTATATAGCAATTTAAAAAAACTATAGCTATTTAAAAAAAACATATATTTTCTCAAAAGAGATACTTTATAATTAAACATATAGCTATTTAAAAGAGGTACAGCTACTTAAAAAAACCATAGCTATTTAAAGTGTTTCGGCTATTTAAAACACTGCAGCTATCTAAAGTTTTCCATAGCTATTAAAAATTTCCAAACAGATACAACAAAATGATAAAATCGTATAATCTTCAATCTTTTTTTTTCCATCATACCCTGCTCAATTATATAATTTAGGTACACAAGTTAGTACATGATTTAGATTGATTTATAAA